GGGGGAGGATTTCAGGGGCTTAGTGGTGGGAAGGTAGAGGTGGATGCGTGGTTTGCAGCCATTGAGCCTAAGAGATGGTGGAGGTAGCAGTACATGAGGTATATGGTCGTTGAAGTCCAAAGGCGAGTACAAGTTTGAGATTTTCATTTAAGGCAATCTGTAGCATAAGGTTGATTGGCTGTTGTTGCTAAGGTGGTATTGTTTGCTGTGAAGCGGAAGTGGTGAGTCATATTGCGTGGGGCTGTCTGAGATGCCTATACAGCGTCTTGCGATTTTGATTTAATAGGGGGAACTTCCTAGTGGCCATTTTGGAGAAACGGGATAAAAAAAACGATTGACCAATCTTCCAATTCTATAGGAACAACTTCTGAATGGAGATGTAGACCTTCTAGCTGTAAATCAACCTCAGTACGTAGTATTGTTACAGGAACGGAAGGTATAGGGTTAGTGAAGTAATCGGGCTAAACTGGAGGAATTGTTCGAAATTTCGTTTCAATTGAACTCTCTAATCAACCAGAAGTCTCCTAGTGAGACGTATAAGACAGCTGATGTGTTCTCAGTATTCCGACAATCCCAAGGCTAGTTTATGAAACGAGTCCTCAAGGGCAGGTTTATTGGAAGCATTCTTCGTTGCTTTGTTCAAATTTGATAAAACCTTCTCGGTCTCTTCAAGACTAGTCTAATGCAACATGACGTTCAGCATTATGGCTGCGAAAATCATCATGAGAACCCAATTCACACCATGTAAACCACCAATTTTCAAAAAGAAAAGAATCTCTCTTCATTCAAATGTCCCCTCCATTAGCCCCCTCCTAATTCACTTTGAATATCCCCCTCCCACTAGTAAACCCTCCGGTCCTACACCCAAACATCTCCATCGCAGCATCATCACTATGGACTCTTTGGCAGGCTACACTTCAGACGACGACCCAGACACCCAAACCACCCAAGTCCAGTCCCTCCCTGCTTTTGACAACTTTGTCACCTATTCTGAGAACTACGCCATGAAAACGAAAAACCTCCGCTCGGCTTTTGTATGTCTACCGTGGAAAGTGAGACTGGAGCAGAGAGAGCTGATCCGCCTATGCTACAAAAGGGTTCTAGATCGGCTCTTCAAAGAAATCCCGAGCCTAAGAACGCGATACTCTTTCCACTGCTCCATCCAATCAAAACAGGACATCTACGGTCGCTACGGCATGTCGCAGAAATCAGCCATGAACAGCCCCCACATTACGCTATTACCTAATCTACATGGAGACCAAAACGACTTTCAACGGCTAGACCATAGTCTACGGAAGGCTGTGAAGGCCGCTGAGCCTGCTCCTACTCAATTGGTGCAGAAACTCGGTGGACCCTTAGGTGACATGCTCAACAGGAAGGAAGAGATTGTTTCCTTGCGTATAGACAAGAACATCATGGCGTTCATGAGCTCCAAAACGGGAAATTTCTTCATAGCTTTGAACGTGATTGGTCCTACGCAGCAGATGGAGCTGGCTGAAAAGACATACCTTCGAGGTCTTATGAGAATGGTCTACGAGCAGGTCAAGCCACTAGGCCTCAAATGTCAATGGGAGAAGTTTTTGGGTGGTGCTCCGTCGTACAATGACGATGGGCTTCCGGAGGTCAACTATCATTGTCTGTTTCTTATTGGCGAGGCTAAGAGCTTCGAGGAGCGGTTGAGTAGGACTCAGTTCGACAGGGTGAAAAAGCAGGTGCGGGAGGTGGACATCGGCGATTTGGTGGGCGACATGAAAATCGAATTCGACAGTCTTTACCTTGGCTCCAATACCCGGGTGAAGAATGTCTATTCGCTTTTCAAGAAGTGAGCCAGGTATATTTCGTTTACGAGCGTCGGAAGCGCCGGAAGCGTCTCGACTATCTAGAAAAGGCGATTGCTACAGCTACATATATTTATTGCATTATAGAGAAGGACCAGAGGCGGTGTACAAATAGTGGGTTCTGAAATGTGGTTTGGATGGGTACAGATGAGTTTAAACCAAAACGAAGGGACCCAAACACTCCTTGCGATAGTTGTCAAATTCAAATGAAACATTGTAATTTAGAGTTTTCAATCATAGTTAAAAAAAAAATAGTTGAAGTCTGCAAGTATACCACGGTATACGACATCGGCTGCGAAATCGGCTGCAAACGATGCACATTCTCCAAATCTACGAAATGCCCCAAAGAGTCAAAAATCACACTTGCAAATTCCCAAGCCGCCGATCTCTTGAAATCTCCTCTACTCAATGGTAAAAAAAAAACATCAAAACGTAACTCCCCCTCTATCATCTCCCTAACCTGTCAGGACCCTGGCTGGACATGTGGTCTTTAATGGCTGCGTCAGCCTCCACATTCAGCAAAAAAAGAACACCTCGCAAAAAAGAAGAAAGTGCACTTTACACCCAAATTACCCCATTTTCCTTCTTTTCCAAGCAAACCCAATTTTCATCCACCCGTTCAGCTTCCATCGCTTCCGAATCGGCGCCAAGACTGCCAGTCTCCTGCACTAACCTAGTACGCACAAGTCGCCAACTACACTTCTCCAGTATGTTCAAGAAGAAAGATAAGGAGAGCAAGAGACAGCTCATCGACATTGTCAATAACAGAAACAACTTGAACCGCTGCGGTGAATGTGCTGCAGAATACCCCACATGGGCCAGTTGGAACTTGGGCCTTTTGCTCTGTGGAAGATGTGCCAATGTTCATAAGAAGATCTTGACTGTGGATGGCCCACTGGGGAGACAAATCTCGAAAGTCAAGTCTCTTACATTGGAGCAGTGGTCCGATGAACAGATTGACAACTTGCGTCGGATCGGCAACCGCAAGGCCAGAAATAAGTGGAACCCCAAGAGAGTGCCATTTCCAAGTGTCGATGATGACGAGGAGGGCCCTGTCGAAGAGTACTTCCGAGAAAAGTACATTGAGGGCCGTTTCAGAGACGACAACATCGAAGGTGACGATTACGACGACCCCAGAAGTGCCCGTTACTCAGACCACAGCGGTCCTCTGACTCCAGCCGGAAGATCCCGTCTGTCCACAGTGACCAGCCGCATGAACCTCCCTCGTTTGACCCACAGAAAGCTCACCAGCTACGAGCAGACACTATACCCTACGCAGCTCCGCCAGCTCACGAATATGGGCTACAATGACCGCGACCTTGCGTTGGAGAGTTTGATCTTGGCCCAAGGTGATCGCGAGCTCGCTCTAGATATCTTGGAGAATGATGTCAAGGTCAACCCGGGCAAAGTCGAAATTGCTCCCGACTTGCCACGTCGTCCTCGTCCTGCTCCAGCTAGCGCTGCTAGTGCTGGAGGAAGCACCAACGGCTCGTTCACAGCTCCTACAAGCCAGCCTTCTAGCACGGGCACGCCCGACTGGTGGAACAACACGCAGGCGTTGCTGGCCCAGCAGACGACAATGCAGCCTCAGCAGGGCCAGCCTCAAATCTACCAATACACCGACCCTGTCACGGGCCAGGTTTCCTATGTGGACGAGCAGGGCAACCAGTACTTGGACCCCAACAACCCTCAGCACCAGCAAATGCTCATGCAGCAGACGAACCCTCAGCTTGTGGCTCAACAGACAGCAAAGCAAAATATCATGTCGCTCTACGGGCAACCCACAGGCCAGGCTCAGCAGCAGCCTCAGCAGCCTCAGCAGCAGCAGCCCCAGAATACGCAGCAGAACACACAACAAGCTCAAGCTACAGGATTCCCTATGGGCCAGCAGCAGGGACAATTTAACCAATTCGGTCAAGCCACGGGAATGCCTCAGCAGGCGACCCAAGGCATGTACGGTCAGCCCCAGCAGGGCTATTTCCAGGCTCAGCCCAACTTCCAGTATGGCCAGCCACAATACTACGGGTAGACAATCGGTGTATAGTTATAAATGGCAAAAACTAGGTTGAATGAGGAACTGTAGAGTAATTAGGACAAAACTGGGGGAATGGATGCAAAAAAATGCCTTCAGCCAGATTCGAACTGACGATCTCCTCATTACTAGTGAGGTGCCTTACCAACTTGGCCATAAAGGCAGTCTGTGCTAGGTGCAGGTTGTAGGGCTACTAAGTTCGGTAGAGGTCGTGCCAAGCTCAAACTACTATTTTCTGGATTTTGACGTGGTTGAAGGCTTCAAACTTGCTTTTTGGGTCCATATGATAATGTGTGCTGCAATTGAGCTTCCCATAAGTTTCTGGATCCAATAATAGAAGGAAATGTAAAGTTATTGGGTATTTCTTCCGATTACACCAAAAGAACCCTGGGACACTCAACCAAAACACAGCTGGAAGCTCTATTTTGGAGCAAATGGTAGATTGTTTCTAGCTTGTCATATACCTTTTCATTTTTCTGTCTTGTTAGCTCGGCACGGTCATAAAATGACGGCTGTATCATCAAAAATCTTCTCATAGGGAGTACCACCTCTAAGACCCACAATCAAGGACCATGAAAAGGCACCGATGCGTGATGTTAGACCCCATTGTTTTGTCAAAAAAACTGCTGTACTGCCACTATGACTACAGCATCAAACGTAGAAGAACAGAAATCTCTGTTGTTTCCATTCTCAGAGTATGGGACTGGTCACAATTCTAGCAGCCTACTCCTTCTGATCGATGTAAAAGAATAAGATGACCAAGGTAATTTATTTTTCTATTAAAACTGCCAAATCACGGTTCCAATTGTATTCAAGGGTAACTGGAAGCTTCATTTTCAGACCGAATGACGGATTTCACCATCACACTTCACCTACTCAACTTCATACTTTCTCCATTTGACAAATTGATATAATTAATGGCTTCTACTTACCTCATTTACCAATTGACCCTCGCAAATGACACTTTCGAATGACCCTATCGTGCTGCCGTTTGTGTGACCACTGGAGCTATACTTTCCACAAACAGCCCCGAGCACCGAGCACATACACAAGAAACAACATAAATAGAGGCCCTTTTTCCCTCCGTTTTTTCTTCTTCATCACCACACTCAACTCAATTGCTTATCAAGATGAACGCCTTCACTGCTTTCCTCAACGCTACTTCCTCGATCGCCAACAAGGCTATCAACGCTACCGCTAACTTCCCCAACAGCACCCTAGTGCACAATGTCTTCAGCACCCTCTGCTGTGTTTCTGACACCGCCGAAGAAGCTACTCAGATGCCTCAGGAGAGACAATGTCTTCTCCAGGTCCCAGGTACTCCAATTACCTCGGAGCCCTCTGCATCTGTTGATCCTCATGGATCCACACAAGACTCGCCAGCCATCGAACCAACCCCCGTGGTGATGCCTGGAACCTTTCCCCCAGAGGAGGCTCAAGCTTCCTCAGAGTCTTCCCCAGACTCTTCTCCTGAAGAGTCGACCCCAGAGGAGTCTGCCCCTTCCCCAGTCCAGAGGGCACCTTCTCCTCGCCGTTCTCGTCAGCCTAGAGCCACCGACGAATGGCAGACTGTGGTTTCCCAAAAGAGGAAGTCACCTTCTCCCCCAATTGTTATTACTGCTCTGGTTGTCAAGCCCACGAGCATCAAGCAATTGAGAAAGCCCAAGCAGCAGACAGAGGGCAGGTACAAGGAGCCTTTCTACGATGTCAGCAAGCAGATCACGCAGGCTAACATCTTTGCCTTCCTTGGCGAATAGCTGCTATAATTGCCATTGTGGCTAAAAAACAAAATCAAAAAAAAAAATTTGCTAGAAAACCATGAAAAGTAAGAAAAAAATAAATATAATTTAAATGCGATGTAGGAGCTGCCCTTTTACCGTGATGGGAACGGCGGAAGGGCCGTTGTCACTATGCTTATACCCGTCGAATAACTCTTAATTTCGACTAAAATTGAAATTGTGGGTGTCAAGGATTCGTCCTTGATGCTTTACGCATATGGTAAATGATGAGTGCACATTTTGCAGCCATTTATATGAGCACACTTGAGCTCTAAGTCGAAGTCAAAATGCTATTTGGAGACGGAGTAGATCTCATCAAAACATATCCAAGTCTCTTTACATCGAAATTCCATAACGCTACTTCTTCGTCCTGTCAACCTGGGCTTCAGAGTGGCTACTAATGTACGACTATTTTCTCTAACACTGCTATCGATGCACCCCAACACACACTTAAAACACCATCCAAATAAACTCCCACAAATCTTCTAATTCTCCCCTTCTTCACTCTTCCATCACTTCCGGGCGGCTAGGGCCCCTTACATGACTAGTGGCACCACCATAACCCAGTCGCATCAGCCACATCACCACCATTCTTTCCCAACCAACGTCCACCTTCAAACAAAACATCAAAATACAATTCCAACTGTCCAATCAAAAAGCACCACCCGAATCTGACCCAATTGGGCCCGCTTCATTGTCGTAAAATCCCATTTTGCAACCTTCCATCCTGCATGTATCTAGAAGATTCTAGCACTATCTCGCATCGTCTAGTCACTTTGCTGCATGTCGGCCCGGACATATATAACGAGGTGGCTTCCTTGATTGCTCCACATAGATTTCCAATCTTCAAGGATGGACGAAACTCAATTCACAGACAACGCCTTGCAGATCATCAAGAAGGCCACGGACCTTGCTAAGGAAGGCTCCCACTCCCAGGTGGTGCCTTTGCATTTTTTAGCAGCCATGGTTCCTACCGATGAGGAGAACCTGACGCTTTACTTGAAGACACTTATACAGAAGGCCAGATACGAATGGCCCGATTTTGAAAGAATCGTGAACAGACACCTTGTGAGGTTGCCCTCTCAGAACCCTCCTCCCGATGAGGTCAGATTGAGTTATGCTGCTGGACAGATGCTCACGAACGCTACCAAAATCAAGGCCCAACAGAAGGACTCGTATGTGGCCCAAGACCACATTTTGTTGGCACTTTTGAAGGACAGCAGCATCCAGGACATTTTCAAAGAAGCACAGATCAACGTGGACACGATCAAGACCCAGGCTTTGGAGTTGAGAGGAAACCAGAGAATCGACTCCAGACAAGCCGACTCTTCCGGACAATACGAGTTTTTGAGCAAGTACTGTGAAGACTTGACCGAGAAGGCTCGTGAGGGTAAGATTGACCCTGTCATTGGCCGTGAGGAGGAGATCAGAAGGGTGATTCGTGTTTTGGCCAGAAGAACCAAGTCGAACTCGGTTTTGATTGGTGAGGCTGGTGTTGGTAAGACTTCCATTGTGGAGGGTGTTGCTCAGAGAATTATCGACGGCGACATCCCCAGCATTTTGGCCAACTCCAGGCTTTTCGCTCTCGACCTTGGTGCCTTGACTGCTGGTGCCAAGTACAAGGGTGAGTTTGAGGAGAGAATCAAGGGTGTTCTCAAGGACATTGAGGACTCCAAGGATATGATTATTCTCTTCATTGACGAAATCCACATGTTGATGGGTGACGGTAAGTCCGATGCTGCCAACTTGCTCAAGCCCATGTTGGCCAGAGGTGCTTTGCACTGTATCGGTGCCACCACATTTGCCGAATACAGAAAGCACATTGCCAAGGACGGAGCATTCGAGAGAAGATTCCAGAAGATCGATGTTCCCGCCACCACCATTCCAGAGACAGTTGCAATCTTGAGAGGTTTGCAGCCAAGATACGAGATCCACCACGGTGTGCGTATTTTGGACTCTGCTATGGTTTCTGCTGCCCAGTTGGCTTCCAGATACTTGACCTACAGAAGCTTGCCAGATTCTGCTGTTGACTTGATTGACGAGACGGCTGCTACTGTTGCCGTGCAGCGTGATTCCAAGCCAGAGGAGTTGGACAATTTGGAGAGAGAATTGAATTTGGTTGATGTCGAAATCAATGCTCTCGAAAGAGACAAGGATGCTGACTCTGAATCCGCTGACCGTCTTGAGCAGGCCAAGAGAAGAAAGGCCGAGTTGGAGGAGCGCCTTATTCCATTGAAGGAGCGCTTCAACGAGGAGCGTAAGGGCCACGACGAATTGATTGCACTCAAGAGAAAGTTGGACGAGTTGGAAATCAAGGCCCAGGACGCTGAAAGAAGACATGACAACGCCTCTGCTGCTGACTTGAGATACTTTGCTATTCCTGATGTCAAGAAGCTGATTGAGGAGATGGAGATCAAGGTTGCCGAAGAGGAAACCTCCAACTCCATGTTGAACAATGTTGTCGGTCCAGACAGCGTTGCCGAGACTGCGGCCAGATTGACTGGTATTCCAGTGACCAAGTTGACCCAGGCTGAGAATGCCAAGTTGATCAACATGGAGAAGGTTTTGTCTTCTGAGGTTGTTGGTCAAAGCGAAGCTATCAAGGCTGTCTCCAACGCCGTGAGATTGACGAGATCAGGATTGGCTAACCCTAACCAGCCTGCCTCTTTCTTGTTCCTCGGTTTGTCTGGTTCCGGTAAGACTGAATTGGCCAAGAAGGTTGCAGGATTCCTCTTCGCTGACGAAAGAGCCATGATCAGAATTGACTGCTCTGAGTTGGGCGACAAGTGGTCTGCCTCTAAGTTGCTTGGTGCTGCCCCTGGTTACGTTGGTTACGAAGAAGGTGGCATTCTTACTGAGGCTGTTTTGAGAAAGCCCTACTCCGTCATCTTGTTTGATGAGGTGGAGAAGGCTGCACCTGAAGTCTTGACTGTTTTGTTGCAGATTCTTGACGACGGTAGAGTTACATCTTCTCAGGGTAAGGTGATCAACTGTTCCAATGCCATCATCATCATGACATCGAACTTGGGTGCCGAGTACATCAATGCATCCAAGGGCACCAAGGTTGATCCTGAAACAAAGGACTTAGTGATGACCGCTGTCAAGTCACACTTCAGACCTGAGTTCCTCAACCGTATCTCCTCTATGGTTGTGTTCAACAGATTGTCAAGAAAGGCAATTGCTAAGATCGTCAAGATCAGGCTTGACGAAGTGCAAAAGAGGTTTGCCGCCAATGGCAAGTCCCTTACATTGGACGTTTCAGACGAAGCGTTGGAGTACTTGTGCAGACACGGCTACTCGCCTGATCTTGGTGCCAGACCATTGAACCGTCTCATTCAAAGCGAGGTTTTGAACCGTTTGGCCATTTTGTTGTTGAAGGGCCAGATCAGAGACAAGGAGACTGCTCGTGTTGTTCTTGGCAAGAAGGGATTGGAGGTTGTACCTAATCACGATGCGGAGGACGTGGACATGGCAGATGCTATTGAGGACTGGGAGGACAGTGAAGACTACGACGATATCGATGCCCCAGTTGACCTCGACTAAGAAAAACGAGATTTTGATTTTGGAGTTATAAATAGAGAAACCTAATACAGACTAATGATGATATTTAGTGTAGAGCCCAGTAATGATGATGCTTTCTTTCCTAATAGAGATGAGTGAAATTCAAACAATGATGCATTTTACTCACAGGGATCTTGAAGAAACAAGTAGGAGATATTTTGCCAGAGACTGTACAATTCAGCAAGAACCAAGCCATGGCTATAGTCAGTGACAGCTTTTCGCAGCCATTGGTGCATGAAGTATGCAAAGAAGACAGCACTTAAACGCAATGCACAATGACAATAAAAAAACTCAATCCAAAACCAAGTAGTCCCAATTCGTCCCATGACGTTTATATTTTCTCCTTTGTCGCCACCCCCTTTGGGAAAATGACTCATATGGAGTAAAAGAGTGGCAACTGATATGAGTCGCGCACGCAGGCTCATCACAGCAGCGAGAAAAAAATCCATATATATAGCGGCATCCACCACAGGTACTACTCCATTATGGCTAGCAGAACCCAATTTGAAAACTCCAACGAGGTGGGGGTCTTCTCCAAGTTGACCAATTCCTACTGTCTCGTTGCTGTGGGCGGATCCGAGAACTTCTACTCTGCTTTTGAGGCTGAACTCGGAGACGTTATCCCAATTGTGAGAACCACCATTGCTGGTACCCGTATTGTGGGCCGTATGACCGCTGGTAACAGACGTGGTCTTTTGGTTCCCACGCAAACCACGGACCAGGAGCTAATGCATTTGAGAAACTCGTTGCCAGACAGCGTCAAGATCCAGAGAGTCGAGGAGAGATTGTCTGCCTTGGGTAATGTCATTTGCTGCAACGACTACGTGGCCCTTGTGCACCCAGATATCGAGAGAGAGACCGAGGAGTTGATCGCCGATGTTCTTGGTGTGGAGGTGTTCCGTCAGACCATTGCCGGTAACGTCTTGGTTGGCTCTTACTGTTCGCTTTCTAACCAGGGTGGTCTTGTGCACCCGCAGACTACGATCCAGGACCAGGAGGAGTTGTCTTCGCTTTTGCAGGTTCCTCTTGTTGCCGGTACCGTGAACCGTGGTTCTTCTGTGGTTGGTGCTGGTATGGTTGTCAACGACTGGTTGGCTGTTGCTGGTTTGGACACCACGGCGCCTGAGTTGTCGGTTGTGGAGTCCATCTTCAGATTGCAGGACGCCCAGCCTGATGCCATTGCAGGCAACTTGAGGGACACCTTGATCGAGACGTATACTTAGGGATAGCATCGGATGTATTATAGGAATGGGAAACTCTACTGTCGGACCAGCGAGCACTTTGCATAGCTGAGGCAGTGGTAACTTAATGCAGATCTTGTTGTAGTGTAGTAGTGGGTGAGGTGGTAAGTGAATGATGGTGAGTGAGTGAGGTAGTCAATGAGATGAGATGAGATGAGATAGGCTTGGCCATACACTATGTTGGAACCACAAAATTATAGAATACTATTATACAAACGCAAATTGGTTGATCAAATCGTTTGTAGTCAACAGCAATGAATTATACCTTTCCAGTTGAACCACCATTGTAGAACTACACCCATGCCATACGTATACTTCATTTTGCAACCATTTCTGAAACATGCTGTGGGGTAGTCAGGAACATTTCCAATCAAAATCGAAGGTTTAACCGGCTTCCAGAAACCATCGAAACCTTCGCTGCGTACCCAACCATCCAGAGCAAGTTGCCCGATAAAGTTGCACAAAGTGAAAGAGGAGAACTTTTAGGTGGTATGCGTCCGCGGGCTTATGATAAGAGACTATGTTGAGAGAGGAGAAGCATGGTTATGAATTTGCTTCCTGGCTTCAACCCACCCAGTTGGCCGTCTTTTGTAAAACTCTCTACCGGATCGTTGAAGTATCAGTGGATCCTTGAAAAATCAGAGACCTCTTGAACAATGCTACTGGACTGGATGACATCATATGCGTCTGATCTGCCTTAGACATCAACACAAATCTGGAAATTTACCCAAAACGAAATTTGTAGCCTTGGGGGTTCTTTTTCGTGTAATCAGCCCCACGCAAGCCCTTCTCCAAAATAACCTTTCACAATTTTTTCGGTTCACGGCTTTCACCTGTGATTTGGGTTTGCCGATTTTCATGTGTCTGCGACCCCACATCTCAAAGGCTACGACATCTCACCACTCTACACTTACTAGAAAAAATTGAAAACCACTACGCAGACCGCCGCCTCACCTTCCATAAACCCATCCACTCAGCCTGCCAAAATCTCCCCAGTTTACACGGTTTCTTCACAGTTCCCTAGTTTGGAAATCCTGCACACACTCTACCATACTTCCCCAGGCTCGCTTATATCTTCATACAGACCGGCCGATTTCCAACTACTTCACCAAAAAAACACCATGGATTTCAGCGGTATTCCTCGAGGCCTGATCCGGGCTCGCGCGTACCAGAAGCTTGCCAAACTCTCGGTGGAAAACACCCTGGGTGTCACAAAAGAAAATTTCAATGTTTTATTTACCTCCACCTCTCAGCCAACCGAGTTGTCCCAGGTGGCCATGTCCTTGAAGGAGTACGAGGTCTTGCTGGCTCTCTGTGACGCTGTGGACGGTCCTATGGCCAATAAGGAGCAGGCCCACGTGTTGGAGGGCAAATTCCACTTGTACTTGCTCGAATTGCCTCGCCAGAAGTTCTCCAGTGCTGTATTTGAAAAAGTCGGCAAACAGGCCCCATGGCACGTTTTGGGTGAGAAGCTCGCCCGTGCCTTGCTGAAGTTGGCCTTCAAGTTTGACGCTGTGTTGCTCGATAAGGTGACGGAGTCGTTCCAGATGTTCACGAAGCGCTTTTTCGCCAACCACGATCTTGAACTCTCTGACTACTTGACCTTGTTGGGTGTCATCAGTGGATTGGTGCAGAGCCCTCAATTGCTCGCTGCTACGCCCGAGTCGTTCAAGGTTTTCCTCCAGTTGGACGTGTGCATCGACAACTTTGACTTTTTGAACGATGTCGAGTCGTACATTTCCACCGCCTACTCGTACCCAGACCTTCGCAAGTTCCTTGACCACCACAATGTGGGTGAGTTCTCGCCAATCTTGTTTGTCGAGAGATTGAGTCTTTTGATGAGCGCCATTGCCAATTCGATCATGGGAGCCTCCAAGTCCTCCACTTTATTGGACTCTTTGTTGGCTAAAGCTGCCGCAGAGCTGGAGGAGGAGTACGATACTTTGGCTGACCGCTCAAGGACAGTTGGACCAAGAAACCTTAACGGCACTGTTCGCTCCATTGCTAGCAGTGAGGAGATTTTCTCGTTGAACGACGATTCTCCTGCTGGTCCATTGACCGCTGAAAAGATGGGCTACATTTCCAAGCTTTCCGAGCTTGCTCTTGCCAAAATCAACTTCTTGGACCGTGGTGAAACTTACATCATTTACTCTACTTACAATCGTTTGGAGCTCGGCTACCTCGCTAAGAGCTACTTTTTGCTGATCATTGGCTGTGGTGCCTACAACAAGCTTGTGGATGTCGATACTGCCACCAAGATCTTCCACAGCTCTGTGAGCATCTACGATGTCATGTTGGACCGCAATCTTGGTGCTGCTGTGATCCAGTTGGGTTCCTTGCTTACCTTCTTGGACCCCTCTGTTGGATCCTCTTTGACTCGTTCCTTCACCTCTTTGGTTGCCAACCCCAACTTTGACTCTCAAAGCTGCCAGATTGCTTCCAAGAGCGTTGGTGTTGCCAGTAAGGTGCTTTCTCAGGACGCTGTGGTGACCACCATTTACGCCTTGACCAACTTGTTGTTCGTTGGCAACGACGGCTTGCAATTGCAGTACCGTGCCAGAAGAAACACCGGTCTTAGAGGCGCCTCTTCAGCTGACTCGGGCGGGTTCCCTCAGGAGAATGGCGGATCAAACCGTCTTATTTCTCGCAACAGTGTGCTGAAGAGAGTCTCCTCTACAGCCACCAAGGAGAGCTTCAACTTCACCGAAACAGAGTACAAGAAGGTCTGTGAACATGCTGTCATTGCCATCTCGGAGGTTGTTGCTGCCTGTGGTGACGAGAGCGTGAGTACCTTGGCTACCACCATTTTGTCCCAGAAGGCCTTGAAGTTGAACCATGTCAGTGCTCCATTGTTGCTCAAGGGCTTGGTCTCTACTGCTCCATACTTGCCTGAGAAGGAGTTCGTGATCTTGGTCAGATTGATCCACAAGTTGACCTTTGACGCTTACGACAACAAGAAGACTGAGCTCATGGACATTTTGCAGAACAGCGCCTGTGACTTGTCCAGAATCCTCAAGCAGGACAACCCATTGTACATGGTCTACTTGTCAGAGCTTTTGACTGCCATTGTCAGCAAGGGTGATGTTCAGGTCTTGGACCACCACCGTTCTCACAACGAGATCAGTGCTATTGGTGACCAGATCTCCATCTACTTGAAGCCTTTGGCTGCCCTTTTGCCGGACGTCCACAAGGACGAGCAGCCTATCAAGCTCACCAACAACAAAATCGTGGACTTGTTCAGAAACATCTGGTTCAACATGGTGGTGCACGGATACTCCATCAACTCTGCTCACGGCAAGTCCTTTGCTACTGAGTTGGAGAAGATTGCCTACAACACCCCACCATTGGCTTCTGAGCTCACTTGGGACAGAACAGAGACTTCTTTGGAATTGAACACCGTCTTGAAGCGTGGTTCTTCCAACCACAATGTGAAGGACCACAAGCACATCGTTGGCGATGTTTTCGAAATCTCCAGAACTTTGTCCCACTCGAGATTGATGTTTTTGGCTGCTGCTTTGTTTGTCGAGTCGCTTAGAGTCAAGACTGGTGACTGCCACACCATCTTGAAGTACTACTCTGATCCATCGATGAGAACAAGTGGTATCGACAAGTACATTGGACCTGTTGCGTTCCACATCAACAAGGACTTTGTGGAGTTGATCCATTGCGGTGCTGATAAGCAGTTTTCTGCTGACAACATTGCTGAGCAGCTTACTCACATGTTGACCTTGTGCTGTTACGGTCAGGAGGATTTGCAGGATGCTGCCATCAAGTGCTGTGACTTGCTCATCAACAAGGTGCCTTCTTCCTTGTGCCACCACAGAAGTTTGTTTGCTTTGTTTGACTTGTTGACCCTTTTGTACGACAGTGTCATGGATGCTGAAATCAGTCAGTACGAGCCTACTTTCTCCTACACTGCCAAGAAGACTGGCATTCAGTTGCAATTGCCAGATTCCTACACCTGGAGAGAGTCCACTTTCAAGAGACTTCACGAAAAGGCCAAGCACTGGACCACCTTGCTTTTGGCTAAGTGTTCCTACGACACCAAGAGTTTGATCCAGTCTTATGTTTCGGACCCCGAGGGCCAGCAGGCTAGACAGGGTATCCTGTTTGGTGTTTCGTTTGCTTTGGAGGCTGCTGGTTCTATTGGACCAACGGACCGTGAATTGGTGCAACTTTCTCTGGCCAACCAGGCTACTCTGACCTTGCTTCCAGGTCTTGTTTCGCAATTGGCATGGAGATCCAACTTCGTCACCGACTTGATGAACAGGGTTCCTTTGCACACCCCAGAGGCTGCCGAGGAAGCTCTTCGTGAATTGAGAATCCAGGTGAAATCTTTGAAGCACTTGATCTGCGATGAAGGCCAACACATTCCTAACAAGGACGTTCTTGACCTCATGAGCGAGCTTGCAGGATTCTCTTTGATCCAGAACAACAACTTGGCTGAGGCTATTCGTTACTTGGTCGAGATTCCTTTCGTTATTTTCGAGTCTGGAATCATGAAGGGTGCTCTTGGAATTTGGGGTGCTGTGATGAAGGAGAAGCCACAACTCTCCATCCTCGTGTTGTCTGAGATCACCAAGAGATGGGAGATGTCCATCAACATGAAGCAGGGTGTCTACACCACTGAGTTTGATCTTGAGGACCCAGAGTTCTCCAAGATGGAGTACGCTCCAAGTAACTTCCAGTATGCTTCTAAGAAGGCCACTGCTGTTAGTAAGACATTCCAGCCTCACTCCGAGATCATCAAGTTGCTCTCTTCGAACTTCGAGGCCACCATGAACCAGAGTGACCACTTGTTGAAGCTCTTCACCAGATTTGTTAAAACCGGTTTGCTCAACTTGAAGTCCGCAAGTTTGCACCCATTTGCAAGATACACCAGATTCGAGTTGGTCAGATTCGCTTTTGACGTTTTGAACTACCACATCAAGTTGAGATCGAGATCTGGTCAGCGTCTTACAGAATTGATCATCGACGGTTCCTTGTCTTGGTTCGAAGGCAGAGCTGGTTTCCCATTCGGCTCTAACGTCTTGAAGATGAAGGCCGATTTTGCCTTGTTGAAGGAAGTCACCAAGTTGTTGAGTACCGTTAACACCTTCCATAGCAGCACTTTGGAGCTGAAGAAGACCTTGTTGATGTACTTCTTGGACGATGAGATCTCAAAGATTTCTGTCTGGTTGAACCCTGCTCAGCCAAACGACACCAGAGGCACTTTTGCTACCTCCCACTTGAGCGGTGACCACATCACCAAGGCTTACGACATCAGTCCTCGTTTGGCTGTGAATTTGGCCAACCGTTACAAGCTCAGAAACTTGGACGAGATTTTGCAAAGTTTGATCACCAAGAACCCATTGCCTGCCCTCACCTGTCCAGATGCCGTGCAATACTTCATTGGTATCAACGCCGGCTCGAGCATGCCAACACATCATTTGTTGTTCTGGGATGCTCTTTCTCCAATTGACGCCATCACCTTGTTCTTGCCTCCATTCGGTAAGAACCCATACATTTTGCAGTACACTATGAGGTCGCTTGAGCACCACGATGTGAACTTGACTTTCTTCTACGTTCCTCAAATCGTGCAATCTCTTCGTTATGATGCTAAGGGATACGTCAAGAGATTTATTGTGGAAACCGCCAGAGTGTCGCAATTGTTCGCTCACCAGATCATCTGGAACATGTTGGCTAACAGTTACAAGGATGAGGATGCCACTGAGCCCGACTCCTTGAAGCCCGTGTTGGACGAGTGTCAGAAATTGATGTTGGACAGCTTGGACGAGGAGGACTTGGATTTCTACAAGAAGGAGTTTGGTTTCTTCGACGAGGTCACCTCCATCTCTGGTAAGTTGAAGCCATACATCAAGAAGTCGAAGGCCGAGAAGAAGGTCAAGATCGACGAGGAGATGGCCAAGATCGACGTCCAGCCCGATGTCTACTTGCCCAGTAACCCTGATGGTGTTTTGGTTGACATCAACAGAAAGTCTGGTAAGCCATTGCAATCTCACGCCAAGGCGCCTTTCATGGCCACCTTCAAGATCAAGAAGGAGGTGGACGACGTGGACGAATACGGCCACACCATCAAGGTGCCTATTGAGAAGTGGCAGAGTGCCATTTTCAAGGTTGGTGACGATTGTAGACAGGATGTTTTGGCGTTGCAGTTGATTTCTGTCTTCAGATCGATCTGGTTGGCCTGTGGCTTGGATCTCTACGTGTTCCCATACCGTGTGACCGCCACCGCTCCAGGATGTGGTGTCATTGACGTCTTGCCCAACTCCACCAGTAGAGATATGCTTGGAAGAGAGGCGGTGAACGGCTTGTACCAGTACTACATCACCAAGTTCGGTCCCGAGACGTCGATTGAGTTCCAGAAGGCCAGAAACAACTTGATCAGATCGTTGGCCGCCTACTCGATCATCTCGTACTTGCTCCAGTTCAAGGACAGACACAACGGTAACATCATGTACGACGGAGAGGGCCATGTGTTGCACATTGATTTCGGATTCTGTTTCGACATTGTTCCTGGAGGAGTGAAATTCGAAGTTTCGCCTTTCAAGTTGACCAAGGAGATGGTGATGGTGCTTGGAGGCAACGACCAGACGCAGGCGTTCAAGTGGTTTGAGGAGCTCTGTATCAAGGGCTATCTTGCTTGTAGACCGTACATGGAGACGATTGTGCGTTGCGTGAACCCGATGTTGGAGAGTGGCTTGCCATGTTTCAAGGACACCACGATCAAGAAGTTGAGAAAGAGATTCTCTCCTGGCAAGAGTGAGAAGGAGGCTGCCTTGTTCTTCAAGGGCTTGATCAAGAAGTCGTACGAGAGTTTCTACACCACGGGTTACGACGAGTTCCAGCGTCTCACCAACGGTATTCCCTACTAGACAAGCAAGCGTCGAAGATGCCAATTATATATAAAAGTGTTTACGGAGCATTGTGTAGGTGAATGTGTAGGTCGTTTAAGCGTGGCCTAACGCAGGCCGATCTGTCCAGATCAGGAAGGAACCAGCATTCTGTGGAAAACAAAGGAGGCTGATCTGAGCCAGATCTGCGGGCGGTGTGATCTCATGTCTATTTTGCTCGAAAAGAATGTTCTTTTTCTTGTTTATCCTTCAGGCAGGCCCGGAAGGAGGGTTGTGTTTTGCCAATATTCACGTCAAGTGGGGTCCTCCTGGTGGAAGAAAAAAAGCGTGTATCTGCAAATGGGTGCAAACTGCAGCGAGCCGAAAACGGCTTCAAAGCCGCCATTCAAGTGAGGTACCACAAAAGAGGCAAAAAAGAAACAACGGTTTTTTTTTTCAATAAAAGGAAAGATTTCCCCTTGCAAAAGGCGAAAGCAACAAAATGGCCTTCTTTTCACGGGTTTCATGGTTCTTGGACCGCCAAGCGGCTTGGCCCAGCGCGGCTACCAGAGGCCATGTTTGGGGCGTAGTAAAGGACGAAAAGAGGTGGTGGCCCGTAAAGGCCGATCCGCGACGGACGGTAAAAGTGAAATTTCGATGATTTTCAAAAAGACAAAAAGCCTGATTTCAATTAAATTCTCCTTTTTTACCCAAAGTTTATTCCTGGTAGTTGCTCTCACTTGGATCTGGTGGCAGAGATGAGGCCCTCTCTAGTTGCTTACACAGCCGTCCTGCACGCCTGTATGATCCACCCCAGATAGCAGAGAAAAGAACCTATTTTTATCAACCACAACTACTTCTCACTACTACAAGGCTGCTGGCCCACCATGAGATTTCTGTTTCTACTGGTGGTGTACGTGTTCTTTGCTGCCGTGGCAGCCCAGTCCAAGCTCCAGGCCACGTCCTTGTTGACGTGTATGGACAACTCCCAGATCCTGGCCTCGTACTTGGATGTGACTTACTTTGAGCTGAATCACTCGGTCGTGGCCAACGTCATGGCCATTTCCAACATCAACGCCAACGTCACCATCAACGTGGAGTTGATCGTGTACGGCTTGAAGGTGGTGACCCAGAACATTTCCTTGTGTGACTATGCTGAGTTCGGCGCCGTTTGTCCGCTCATGCTGGGCCACTTGGACTTCAACATCGACCAGGAGCTCTCCAGCGACATTACCAAACAGATCCCGGGCGTGGCGTTCACCATTCCCGACATCGACGCCAGAGTCAGGATTGCTCTTTACGACCAGAACACCGATAACGCCTTGGCGTGTGTGGAAGCGGTGGTTTCCAACGGAAAGACCGTCCAGACGAAATACGCCGCCTGGCCCATTGCCGCCATCGCAGGTCTAGGGCTCATCACATCCGGTGTGGTTTCCGTCATGGGTAACTCGAATACGGCGGCGCACATTGCGTCTAACTCGATGTCCTTGTTCGTCTACTTCCAGAGTTTGGCCATCACCTCCATGGAGGCCGTGGCCAATGTGCCTTCTATTGCTGCCGCATGGTCCCAAAATTTCATGTGGTCGCTCGGTATCATCCGTGCGGGCTTCATCCAAGACATCTCAAACTGGTACTTACAGGCCACTGGTGGCGAGCCAACAGATATCTTGGGTAACAACTACTTGTCTGTCTCCGTGCAGAAGATGAAGAGATCTCTCGAGTACATCTCTATGGCCATGTACGACAACCATTTGGTCAACAACTTGCGTTTGCACAAGCGTCTCTCCGTTTCCATCGATTCCGACAATTTCGGTTTGTCTGACAACTTGAACTCCACCTTGTACACCACTGACGAAAAGGACCCCGAACTTGGTGGTAAGGTGTTGATTTTGAGAGGTATCCAGAGACTGGCCTACTTGGCGCGTATCGAGATCACTGACTTGTTCATGACCTCCATCATCTTCCTTTTCTTCTTTGCCTTTGTTCTCGTTGCTTGCATGATGTTCTTCAAGGCCATCATCGAGATCTGCATTCGCTCAAAGATCATGAACGAGGGCAAGTTTAACGAATACAGACTGCAATGGTCCAGCATTATCAAGGGTGCGTTGTACAGACTTTACCTTATTGCTTTCCCTCAGGTATGTGTCATGTGCGTGTGGCAATTCACCGCCCATGACTCTGCGGGTTACGTCGTTGTTGCTGCATTTTTGTTCCTCATCACTATTGTCCTTCTTGGCTATTCGGCCGGCAGAGTGATTGAGTTTGGACGGAGATCTGTCAGAGTTCACAAGAACCCTGCCTATCTCTTGTTCGGTGACACCAAGTTCTTGAACAAATTTGGCTTCGTTTACGTTCAGTTCAGAGCCGATTGCTACTGGTTCGTGGTGACTTCCATGATTTACACCTTCCTCAAATGCTTGTTCGTTGCAGTTTTGCAGAAGCAGGGTAGAGCTCAGTCGGTGGTGATTTTTGCTATCGAACTTATCTTCTGCGTGCTAGTTTGCTGGATCAGACCATTTATGGACAAGAGAACAAACATCTTCAACATCACCATTGCTGTCATCAACACAATCAATGCATTGTTCTTCATGTTCTTCTCATACATTTTCGGTCAGCCCCAGGTTGTGGCTTCCGTCATGGCTGTGGTGTACTTTGTGTTGAATGCCGTGTTCGCTTTGTTCTTGTTGCTCTTCACCATCGTCACATGTGTGCTCGCATTGGTGTACAAGAACCCAGACACGAGGTACCAGCCAATGAAGGACGACAGAGTTTCGTTCTTGCCTCGTATCCATCACAAGGGTGCTCAGCAAAACTCCTCAGACCCCGACGACATTGAGTTGGTTGCTTTGGGAGCCAGTGCTATGAAGGGCCACGAAAATGGTGGCAAGCCTATTTATGATGATGAGTCCGTTTACGACGATGACTCCAGCCAGACGAGAAAGGGCAACAGCAATACATTTGAATCAGAGAGTTTCTCTAAGAACTCTTTGAGCGTTGAGTCTGCGGAAGCGCAGCAGCCAGCCTCCACTATTGTGGGCAACTCTACAAACGCCTACCTGGGATTCCAGACGCAATACAGCTCGAACCAGGCTTACGGCAATGATGAGGCCCCATACAGAGGCAATTACGGCAACCGCTCCCGCCAGAACCAGCACAGTCCGAGCTACATCTAAGCTCGTGCTGTGGAACAACCATAAACGAATTGCATGACCCCATCATCGACTTGTGCATCAGACAAGCCGATCTGTATCTATACGGCTCCAAAATGTGATCTGCTTCACAACTTACGAAATATTCAATTTACTTAGAAAGGACGAGGTACACCTAGGCGTGGCTCAAGTGTCAACTTGAAGCCCATGGAAACCGTTGTAGCCACTACTATCTTCCTCTTCGTCAGAGACAGCTTCAGAGGTATCTTCCTCGACATTGTTCAACATAATGCCGTCGTTGAGCTGCACGCTTGCTTCTTCCCACTTGTCGGCAAGATCGGAGATTTTGTCATCGAATTTTTCGTCCAAATTCACGAAAAACTCCTTGGGGTCATCGGCAAGAAAATCAACATTATCGCTGACTCTTTCTGTAGCCAGTTTGACTTTTTGAAAGACTTGATTCAACAATTGAGCGGAAACCTCGGGCTCTTCTCTTTTAACCCGACCAGAACGGGCAAAACAGAAAAGTACATCAGGTTCTCTTGAATTTCTCTCACACTTTAAGTTCTCCAGCATGAGCTCAGCTGAATTGCCAATCTTTGTATCCAAAAAGTTCACAAACTTATGAGCCACCTCTTTCACAAAATCCCCATCATTTGCCATACCCTTATCGGAGTCCAAGATAGAAGGCCGCAAGTGCAAAGTATGCAATTTAGCCGCCGTTGCATTGATCTTGCAGGCGATCGTGAACTGCTGGGGAATTGATCTGGATGGGTCTTGGTAGCGTGCCAATGATAATATGGATACATCATCGTCTTGAACCAAGAATGCTGGTTCAAGGAAAGTGACAAAACCGTTTTTCACCGACAACGCATTGGAGTTGGAAAATGAGTCGATGATCTTTGGAGGAACCAAAAGGCCCTGGGCAAGGACGAAAGAGAAGAAAAAGGAGAAAAGCATCGTGGGGTACAATGGAGTGGTTGCAAATAAAGTGTATATGTGCGAATTAGCTATTATGCGTATACAACGATTTTCTTCTTACCTCGGGTGTCGTGATTGTCTAGCGGGTACATGTCGCCGTTTTCGTTCAAGTAGTACTGGGGAAGGGCGTTTTGGGATGGCACTCTAGATTGTGGGTTGGCGGTGCCCTTCTTGCTGTAGTCAAAGTTGACATCCTCGAGCAAGTTCATTCTAGAAATGTACAATGTGGTGAGGAACATCACAAGCATGCAAAGCCAAAGAAAGAAGGAAAGAATGGCAAAGGTCGACAATGCTTTTCTCATTTGGCAGATGCTGTCTGAAGCGCAGTTGTTGTTTGTAGCCACACTGGTGATGGAAAGTATGAGAGACACGCCGGTAAGGACGCAGGCCAAGAGGCAGTAGAATACGCCGTTTCGCCTGTCGAAGTTTATGGCTTTTGTAATGAAAAGAAGCGAAACCACCAAGGTAATCACACCCACAGCTATAAAGTAGCGGTAGATGCCAATGGAGATTTTCTGGTCCTGGGAGCCTAGCGTGCTGGCTAGAGCGATGATGACGATTCCAAACATGATCTGAAAAACGTCAATGACGTTGCTGGCTGTGAAGTGAAAATTCCGAGGACCCTGGGGGTCAAAAGGGTCCACATCTTTCGGACCAAACGTGAGCACCGGTCTGTTCATGACCCGTTCGAGAAGATTGACTTCAGGTGCTCTAGGGTCTTTTCTTTCAGCCGCATCTGCCACAACCGTGGCCTGGCTGTCTCTCTGCTTCATGTAGTCTCTCGAGTCCTTCATGGGAGGAAGCTCATCCTTGTCGAATTCCTCCTTGGTCCAATCCTGGTAGTTATCTTTAGGCGGCGGAGGAGGAGCCTGCTCTCTCATCTTGAACTGCTGGAGGTTGTTAAGGTACGAGTGCTGCCGTTTAGGCAGAGGTGGGGGTTGAGGATTGTGTAGCTGGTGGGGAGTATTGTAAGGCAATTGCTCGACAATGGATGGAGGATACGGAGCAAACTGCCGTATGGGCTCTTCACTGAACAGCAGTGTAGCGTAGTGTTCGTAAAAATCGGTGGTCACTGGAGCCTCCAGCACTTCTGAATCACTCGGAAGCGAAGTCGGGGTGGTGTTTCTGGAGCGTTTTCGGGGCTCTGGTTTCCCGTATTCAAACCTCGACAAATCGCTGACCACTCTGGTTTCTTCGGCTCCAAAAGGCCGCAAAGGCGTCATGGCTGGTCTTGTAGTTGAGGTCAGCCTTGCTTGAGCTTGACAGGCTGGGGTTTGACGCCTGCCCGATTTGGATAAACATAAACAATGCCGGCGTCAGGGGCTGGCCACAATGCTGCTGCCACGGAGAAGCGACAATGTTTTCAGAAATTGCTTTTTGAAACAGGATGGAAGAGAGAATCACAACTGGCTGGTTGGTGAGACATGGCTGCAAAATGTCTGCGAAAGTGTCGTCTGGGGTGCATTGGCTGCGAAATGTGCGGCGGTATTGATGGTGGTGGTATTCAGAGGGGGTTGGAGGTTTTTTGATTTGACTTTTGGTTTTTGATTTTGGAAGGTTCGTTATAACAATTCAGCTTGTGAGATTTGATTTTTGGATTCTGTGGTGGTGGTTTTGGTGGGTGGGTGTGTAGCAGGTTGGTGATAATGCTGGCTGGTGTACTCACACTGGCTGGTATCAACAGTCGATGTCAATAAACATAACCAGCGGCTGCGCTGGGAGCAAGCACCTTGGAGAAGTATAAATTAGGCGGAGTTGAAGAGGATTTTGTTTTCTTCGGTTTACTTTATTTTTGATATTTCCAGAGTCATAAGCTCCACTGATCCAATACTGTCCACAAGGTGTAAACGATCTCGGGAATCCCGATCATTCTCCTGATCTGGCTCAATTTTGCACAAATTTCCCGTTGTTGCTTTCAAAAGTTAATCTTATTGCCATTCAGCATCGACTATTGTTTACCAAATATTTCCTGGTCACCTGGTTCCTGGGACACTGCCTCACGGAACTCCACATAATACAAATCAAGGGGCCATCACAAAACCCAAGGGCCAAAAAGAGGCCATAAAGGGGCCATAGAGGGGCACTTTGCCACCGTTAAACGTCACCCCGGCATTCAAATTGCTATCACTGTTTCTGCTCAGCAGGTAAGTATTGTGATTTTTTCATTGCTCGTCATACTAATTCGCAGCCATTCTTTAGCACGGTGAGGCCAATACAGCCCACCATCACCACACACGAACCTTATATAGAATTAAGACAGCCCCAATGGGCACATCTCTTCTGGTTCTCTGACATGCACATTTAGATTTTTATTCAGAAGGCGCTGGATACCCCGAAATTGAATATCTCATCTCCCGGGGCAACTACGGCGTTTTCGCCGGGCCAGACCACTTCTGGTACCTTCCTCTACCTACTGACCAACTCAGAGTGCCACTCAATGAACTTGCTCCAGCCCGCACCATATATTAACTCTGCACACCTCGAAATTTATAAACTGCCTTGCTAGCTCAATGGCTAGAGCGTGAGACTTTTAATCTCAAGGTTGCGGGTTCGACCCCCGCGTAGGGCTTTCTTTTTGCAGAATTCCCCAAAAGTACTTTTTTTCGCACGTCAACCGTCATACACATCACCCGTGGGGTTCTTCACACCCTAGAAGCGGCGGGGTGGGCTCGCCGGAATCGCCGGTACGGCATATAGTCACGTAATTTTTTTTTTTTTTGCCAGCCTTCCGGAACATCTCTGAAACAGCACCGTAGCCGGACTTCAGCAGCAACCGGAGTCCAGTCGGAGTCAGATTGGGGTCCGTCGGAGTCAAACCCGAGCTTGGGCCCACGTCTTACTACTACTATGTAGCGTCCTTTCGGAGCCTGCCCCGGAATTTCAATGTGCACACGCCTCCCCACAAACCCCGGAAGGGACAAAACAGCCAACCAGGACCGTCCATAATAAAATAGGCAAACTTAAACGCAAATCGACAAATCACAAAAAATTGACTTCTTCACCTGTTTCAATGGAGGGGGTCTCGCTTGGGCAATTCGCGGCAGGTTATTGGCTGAACCCGGCGCTTCTCGGAGCCTGGATATAATTGCGGGCCCTGCTACATCTCGAAAAAACCACCCTTTACTAATCTCTCCTATTCTTTATCCCCCGTTTTCAACAAACATGTTGTCCAGATCCCTCAGATCAAGCTTACGCCGTATACCCGTTGCCAAAAGGGTGTCCTCTGCCGCCGTGGCCGGTTTGAGAGTGTCCCAGGCCTCCGCTTTGCACACCAAGGTTCCAGCCTTGACTGTCCAGCATGCCAGATTTGCCTCTCCTGTGACCACCTTCAAGAGATTGGCTTCCACCTCCGTCAAGGTGCCTGAGATGGCCGAGTCCATCACCGAGGGTACCTTGTCTGCTTTCAACAAGGAAGTCGGTGACTATGTGGAACAGGACGAGCTTGTTGCTACCATTGAGACCGACAAGATCGATGTGGAGGTTAACGCTCCAGTCTCCGGTACCGTCACTGAGCTTTTAGCCAATGTCGAGGACACCGTTGAGGTTGGCCAGGAGATCATCAAGATCGAGGAGGGTGCTGCCCCAGAGGGCGGTGCCAAGAAGGAGGAGCCTAAGGAAGAGCCAAAGAAGGAGGAACCTAAGAAGGAGGAGCCAAAGGAAGAGAAGAAGGAACAGCCAAAGAAGGAGGAGCCCAAGAAGGAACAGCCTAAGAAGGAGGAGCCAAAGAAGGAGTCCAAGGAGTCCAAGGAGCCAGCCGGATTCGGTGGTTTCGCCAGAAGCGAGGAGAGAGTCAAGATGAACAGAATGAGATTGAGAATCGCCGAGCGTCTTAAAGAGTCCCAGAACACCGCCGCCTCCTTGACCACCTTCAACGAGGTCGACATGTCCAACTTGATGGAGATGAGAAAGTTGTACAAGGACGAGGTTTTGGACAAGACCGGCATCAAGTTCGGTTTCATGGGTGCCTTCTCCAAGGCCTCCGCCCTTGCCTCCAAGGAGATCCCAGCTGTCAACGCCTCCATCGAGAACAACGACACCATGGTGTTCAGAGACTACATGGACATTTCCGTCGCCGTTGCCACACCAAAGGGTTTGGTTACGCCGGTGGTGAGAAACGCCGAGTCCCTTTCCATCTTGGGCGTCGAGGAGGAGATCACCAAGTTGTCCAAGAAGGCCAGAGACGGTAAGTTGACCCTCGAGGACATGGCCGGTGGCACCTTCACCATCTCCAACGGAGGTGTGTTTGGCTCCTTGTACGGAACCCCAATCATCAACTTGCCCCAGACCGCTGTCTTGGGCTTGCACGGCATCAAACAGAGACCAGTCACTGTGAACGGTCAGATTGAGTCGAGACCCATGATGTACCTTGCATTGACCTACGACCACAGAGTGTTGGACGGCCGTGAAGCCGTCACCTTCTTGAAGCTTATCAAGGAGTACATCGAGGACCCTAGAAAGATGTTGTTGTCTGCCTAAGTGCATCACTAACTAGAGCAAGTATCAAGCAAAACAGATAAGTGCAGCTGTAGGAATGAGCAGTAGAGCTGAGCTGTAGGAACAAGCAGCAGAGAAAATAGGAAGGGTCCTTTGCCCAATAGAGCCGTTATAATAACAGGTGGGTGAGGCAGCCTCTTCGCAACCACCGGCATATATGTATCACTTGCGTTTTGATGTGTTTATGTCTCGGCCCAAAAGAGTAATAGTGTCCAACGATCAGAGATTTAAACTGCCCATGGAGAAAACAGCTCGATTAGGCTGCGATATTCGATCTAGCAATCGCTGCAACCGCCTTCTTCCTGAGAACTTCCCCCATCTACCACTTTTCTTCCTCCACACCGTCAGCCGTACCCATCCCGTTTGGCTGCAAAACGACATTTTTCCAAATCCTCCTGCCATCTATAACCACCTTCCCATATGGATCCCTACTGGGACGACCTCAGCTTTGCTCCGAAGCCCAGGACCCCTGCGCCAGAGGAGGAGTTCAGCCAGTACTTTCTGGAGTACAAGAACTTTGACAATCTTTTCAACGATGCATTGACCACTCTCCAGGACTTGGATGTGCCGTCTGGTCCACCTCAACCGGCGCAATTGCACCACCTCAACTCGCCTTTCAAACATGCTAAGAAGCCCAGCGGCACCGCCATCTTTGGCTTTGCCGACCACAACAGAGAACTCTCCATCAACGGCATCAACGACATTCTAAGACACCAGAGGGCACCGCTGGAGGCTGCTCTGCTGATTCTGCCGGTGCAATTGGCCCGTAAAAAGGCTCCACCGATGTCCAACGACCATCTTGATTTCAACTTTTCCCAGGGTTTGGAAGTCTGCAAGCCCATGCACATCAACGAGAACGATGAGTACGAAGAGCCCAAGAAAGAGGACGACTTGATCGTTACGGGCGCCACGCCAAAGCAATACAAGTTTCCGCCCGACCCAGAAGACGAGGAATTTGCCATTGACTACCTCAAGAAAATGCCCTCGGTGAGCCAGCCCATCCACATTCTGGCCAAGGAAGACGAGCCATACCCAGAAGAGATCGAATCGCTTCTAGAAAGCCCGCTGCGAAAACCCAAGTATGTTCCAATCCCGGTTCAGCAGCCTAGGCGTAAGATCAAGGAGGAAATCGACCCCAACTTGGACTTGGACCTCAACATGAACATGAACATGAACGTCTACCTTCCGCCTCCAGGCAGCCAGGCCACAAGCAACGAATACTCTTCTCCGGAACCGGCGTCTCCTCTACCGCAGAACGGCTTGTATTCGTCTCCCCACAGAGTGATTCCTCAGGGTCCTCCGCTCCATTCCTCTCCTTACGAAAAGAACAACTACAACCCCCAATATTTCCTGGACGGCACGGATAATTACCTGGACCCCAATGTCGTCAAGTCGCTGCCTTTCCAGCTGCTGCCTTTCCGCAACGAACCTCGCCTGCTCAAGTCATCTCCTCTCAAGTACAACCGAACGGAAGCTGACGAAACCACCACCGACGTCAACGAAACCATTGTGCAGCTTACGCCGTTGAAAAATAACGCCACGCCGTTCACGCCCAGCAAAAACAAAATCACCCTCGAGTGGAGTCCCATCATCTCTCCAAACTCCAAAGCCTCCACCGACGTCCGCAAAGCCATCCAGGACCTTTCTCCCAAACGAGTGATAAAAAAGACCTCTTTGCTTCCTCCGGGCGAGCTCGATAGGTACTGGGAGGGTCCGGACGAAAACAAAATTTTCACTTGCAAGTACGAGGGTTGCAATAAGAAATTCACCAGAAGATACAATGTCCGCTCCCACATCCAGACACATTTGAGTGATAGACCTTTTACGTGCTCCTACTGCCCCAAGTCGTTTGTTCGCCAGCACGATCTCAACAGACATGTCAAGCTGCATTTGGTTGCAAAACATTGTAAGTGCAGCTGTGGCAAGGAGTTCACCAGGGTGGAGGGCTACAAGAGGCATTTGAATAAAGGCATTTGCCAAAAATTCACAGACACTGAGGTGAGTGGCTCCTCGAGAGGTGTTTCTAAACCTAGCCCTACGAAACAGCGGCGTGGAGAAACTGTCTTGGATGGACTTACATCGAACCGGTTGAACGAGGACCTCGGGCTTGCTGAGCATTAACGAGTTTTTGATATTCTGCGACTTTCTTTATTTACTTCGACTTTTGTTTTCTTTTTGGCGTTTCGTTTCGTGATCAGCACTTTGTATAGGATATAGGGTTGTACCAATTGATGTACACAGTTATGGAGACGTAGAGGTCCATCGTAAAAAGGTGTCAAACAACTTTGTGTAACATAATGTCCACCAATACCTTAAAATTAAACTACACCTACACCACCCCTAACTCCAATTGATTCCATTACCGTATATGCGTTTCTCATGCTACACCTCAGTGTCTTCCTCTTTTATAATTCCAGCAGCGCGGGCTGCCGCTTCTTCCTCCTCTTGCTTGTGCACCTTGATGTGCTGGTTGAGATTATCTGTTCGACTGAACTTCTTCTGACATGTCGGACATTCGTAAGGCTTCTCGGATGTGTGTAGTGACCTAAAGTGCCTCTTCAAATGCTCTTGCCTCTTGAATCTTCTCAGACAGTAAGTACACACAAAGATCTTCGACAGGTCGACCAAGTCGGCGGCTTTATTCTCCTTACGCCCTCTTGTGCGGACCTTTGGATTAATTGTGGGGATAATTTCGGTGTCTGGGGGAAGATCAAGCGATTGAAGATCAATCTCAACAAGGTCAGCCTGCTGCTGCTGCTGCTGCTCTGCCTTGGACTGTTGAGCTTTCTTCTTTAGTAGTCTCAGACCTAGGATACGTTTCGATGCATTAGCAAATGACAGCGAGCCTCCCATGGCTGCTTCCTCGGAAATTGAGGAATGCTGTGATAGAGATACATCATTTGCCAGGCGAGAATCGCCAGACTGCTCAGCACTCAGGCGATTAGTGTTGTTAAGGGAGGATTTTTCTGTAGCGGAGACAGAGGAGGTGACTCCTGATTCGGGCTCCTGCTTCACTGTAGGCTTCTTGTTCTTCATGCCTCCGAGGCGCCTCTTGCCCATATTTTCAAACAACGAGGCATAGTCGGGCTCCGGAGGTGGATGTGAATCGAACATTTGTGCGTTACCCAGGTTCGACGAATTTTCTGTTTTAACTGAATTTTGTAGCGAAGGTTGTGCCACGCTGTTCTGGTGGGAGCTGTCGTCTCTTTCGCTGGAGGCCACCGAGCTGTTGGTCTCATGTTTCACAAGATCCAGCTGCGGTTCAAAGGGCTGATTGCGTTGGGTCTTGAATCTGTTGAACAAGTTCATTCGGGTCCTCCTGGCTTTCTTCGTGGGGACGGGGTTGTCATTCATTTCGCCGTCTTCTTCCTGGTTCACAAGGACATCCGCCAAAAACGGCGCTGGGTCGTCCTCTTGCTGCTCGTTGTTCGACTTGAATATGCTCCTTATGAGGTGCCTGCTCTGCGGTTGCTGGCCCCAGTCAGGCAGTTTTCGATCTCTGTCTCTCTCGCCCATAAATGGGATATAACTCGAGAACGACCGAGGATTCCGTGAGGGCGGATTAATGCTCGAGCCCTGGCTATCAATGGAGACACGTCCACGAGGGTATACGTCGAACGAGGGCCTGTGGACCAGCGAAGGAGGCTGATCAAACAGCAGTCGGAACTGATTAGCGGAGAAGAAGGAGGCCTGCGCCAGGTACATGGAGTTCATGGAGGGCGTCAACGACGTGGTTGTCGTCAAAGGCAGGAAGTCGCCAACGGCGGAAAATGACGTTCTGTGGCTCTGTGTATTACGACGAGACCGGACGGGCTGTTCCTCTGCCTCTGGGGTCCGGTTTGGGATGGAGCCGAAATCAACGCTGCTCGGGGCCTGCGGACTATCGCCCACTATGCTGCCAAAGGCTCTTGCCGGGCTGATGCCAGAAACCTGGGGCTCCACGGAGCCGTCGTAGGGTGTTTCTAGGTAGTTTTGATCCTCGAAGCCGATTAGCGGATCTCTGTCGAACTGGCCCTGTTGCTGTGTGCTTTCGTTGTTGCTCTGGTTGTTGTTCTCCTGGTACTGCTGGAACTGCTGGGGAGGCTCGTTTCGGACAAATTGCATGAAGTCGTCCTCCTTCAACGGATCACCAAGTCCCGTGCTGGAGTCAACGTACATGCCGTTCTCCATGCCGGGGCTGTTGTCAATATCCATGTCGGCTTTGAAAGCGCCCGGCATGTTCCAATTAAGAAGCTCCTGGTCCATCTGAAGCAAGCCGTCGGAGAAGTCTGGTTTGACGATGTTGTGGTTCATTTCCTCAGTGGGGTCGTGCCTCGGCGCCTCGGGGTCGTCATCCCGGAAAAGGCCTTCGGGAGAGGCGGTGTTGCCGTTCATCTGTGGTTATCAGGCCGTGGGCAATGGGGCATGAAAGGGTACTTTGGAACCGACTAGCTGGTGAGAAAGCTTTTCTGGATTGATAGTGCAGGATGCACCACAGACGGCTAAATGGAATGGAAGGTGGGTGGGAGGAATGCCTGGGACGGGGAGGGGTAGACGGACGGTGGTGCTTTTGCTTTTTATGTAAGCGGCCCAATTCGTGGCTCTGTTCTGGGGAAGAAGGGTGTAGTTGTGGTGGTGTGAGGGTCACCCCAGATAAGCCAGACAGTGCACATAAGTGTGTGTTCTGGGCCGGCGGCGATGACCAACATGGTGGAGGATAATCAGTGTTTAAGTATATTTGGGGGCTACGGAAACAAGGCCTATTTGGGGTATTTGGGGTTTTTATTGTCTGGTGTATCGCCGATAAGCCGCTCGTCTACTGGGGCACTGTGTCTGCCGTGCCTCCAATTTGAAGAAGCAGTTTTTCGAAATTTCCTATTAACTTCAAAACAAAAGGTCTCTCGATCCATCGTATTTTGGTGTCAGTGTTCGTTGGCTGCCTCAGGCGCTTATCTCGAACGGCTGCGGCGCTGGACCACACTTTGACGACCTCCAATGCTGACAATGCCGGCTAGCCTGGCAAAAGGTTAAACGATGTTTGGAGGGCGGTCCAATTACGCCTAAAACCGAACAAACCTAGTCAGCTTATTCAATAGTTTACTCCACCAGCATATTCCGTTCTGCCTCGGCCGACTGTGGTCCTCGTGCTCAAAACACACTTCACAGAAGAGAGATTTTTACTAAAACCTATTGTCATTTCTCCAAACCAAAAATAAACCACAAAGTGCCGTGGCAGAATTAAACTTTCACGGTTGGGCCGGGCCGTTTGCGGAACTGCAGTTACCAAGCCACCCGTTTGACAGGCACTTATCTAAAGATAGAGAGAGAGCGTGCGTTTTTTTGCACCATTTCTTGCAATATGCAAAAACCGCTTTTCATGGACCAACCATTTGTGGCATCGCTTCGATTTAGTCTTTGATAACATTGTCAGTGCCGTGCACGGGACCTTCGCTTCCCTGTCAAACCTTATTTTCTACACCTCCAATCCGTAACTCTACATCCTCCAATCAACTCTACATCCCAGTCCTAAACTCATTAATACTGATACAATGCCGCTCGGCTCTATACTGTTACATCATTTCGACGGCGTCCGCTGCCGTATGGAGTCGTCCTCGTCCTTGTCGTCGGGATTCACCACCCGAAGCACACTCTTTCTCTTGGAACTCACCAACACCTGAACGTCCATGGCCTCGTCACAAGAAGAACCTTCCTCCTGTTCGTCGTCAGCCGGTAGGTCAGAAATGCCCATGTAGCCGCCTTTGGTGCTTTTCTTGAGGCCAGGCAGCGCTGGAGGTGTATTTGTAAAAGAGAAGCTTTTCCGAAGCTGGCGCACACGAGCTGGAAGGGCTGGATCAAGCAGAACCTGCTTCATTTCCGGTGGCTCCGACGTCTCTGATTCGTCGTCAACCTCGGGCATGTTGTTGAGCGTCTCGTTCAGCCCAAGGAAACTGTGTCTTCTCACCGTACGCTGTCTCTTGGAATCGTACTCTTGTCTCTTTTTCACCCATGAATCGATCGAAGCGGCTTCTAGAGTAGACTCGCTGCTGGCAGATAAACGGCGATGCACATGTGGAGGAGGCACGTCTGCTGGAAGATCAGAACGGGTTCTAAAATGGCCAAGCTGGTAGTCGAAAGCGTCAAGAACATCCTCTTTTTCTGGTTCACTGGAGCCTTTGCGTTTCCAGAGATAGAACCCAACAGCAGCGGCCATGGCCAACGCTGCAACGGGAACCAAGGTACCAATAAGCGCTTTTTGGGTAGTCAGGGTAGAGCCGCTGTCGGAAGATTCCGTCTTTTTGGTGTTGTCCGAAAGCGACTTGACCTGCTCGAACTGGTTATTGATATCGTAGAGCAGAACAGTGTAGCCTGAGCCGTCTCTCTTTTTTGTATCGCCATCTCTAATCAACACCAAGGTCTCAAAAAGAACAGCAGCTCCAATGACATCCTCAATGTCAATATCCGTCTCCACAGGCTCCCATGCCCAGGTATTAGTATCCACTCTCAATCTGGCCCATTCTGGCGAAGCAAGGCCCTTCGAGTCGTCTCCACCAATAAGCAACATCGCCAGCGGTCTGTATGTTTTTTCAAAAGTCGAGGCATCGTTGTCGGACAATGGAGAGAATATCGGCAACACCATAGGGTTGAGCCTGGAGTTGACGCTGAATGAGCTGTTTCTCTCCACTGCCTGGAAGGACCAGCCGGAATCGTAATTCCACGTGGCCAATTGGTACATGTTGAGCCAGCCGTCGTTGGACCTTCCGCCGATGACCAAGGAGTTCTGTGGATTTGGAGCCCATTGGGCAGTGGCTCCATAGAAACCGTGCGGTTTGGTGGATGTGGTGATGTTGGAGAAGCTGAATTTCTCCATGTCAAACGAAAGAAGTCTGTCTGTGGCTTTGCCGCTTGAAGGGCATCTGCCTCCGTAGATGTAGATGTTGTTGGAACTTGGACTGGTCAAGACGGTCGAGCCCTCGTAGTACGACACATCGGAGACATCGCTGAAGGTCATATCGTCCGTTGCAGGCTCCCACTCGTCTTTATCCTCGTCGTAGCCCAAAAGCTGGAAAATGCCGTCTCCACAAACATCGTAGTCACTTTCCTGGTCCAGCGCTTTGAATGCGTACAAGGTGCCCTGATGTAGAAACACGGTAGAGTTTTCTGGCGGCGACGCTATGGCCGATATGCTCTGGCCGCTGGTCAAATCAAGAGTCTTTTTGCCCAGGGAGCTTTCAAGGTCGTCGAACCCTGTGATGGAGAAGTTCAACGGCACAATGTCGTCGTTCTTCAACCTCATGTATACCTTGCCTTGGTCAAACGAGTAGTAGGCGGCCCATTGCGCCCAGCATGGCACAAGCGCAAACGCTAGCACCCAAAGAAGCATTGGTAGTTGTAGTCTAACGGTCTTCTGCTCATCTACGGCTTCCGTCATACTCCCCATTTCGTGTAGCTGGGTGTGTTTACCTTTTTCCCAATCTGGGTCATTACACGCATTGTCTAGCGCAGGCCCCAGGCCTAAAGCTTACAATGTGGGGCCCATTGTAGAACGACGGCCACGGCTGGAATTTCACCTTTGGCCTGGGCTGTTATTGGTGGAGGTTCCATCGGGCGGTCCGGTGCATTGGAATGTGGTGACCGGGAGCCAGTAAGCTGCTGATCCTGTCTGGGTGTCTTGTCCTCTGTTTTGCTGGGGGGAATTGGCTGGCTAGTGGAAGTTTGAGTTTGTGGTTTGGTGTTTGGGATGGTTATTTGGGGTAGTTTTGAAAATGTCTCTTGTGTAGACATTGGGGTTGAGGTGGGAAATGGTTGCAAATTCGCACTATGATAATGGATCTCTGCGAAGCATGCAAAATGTGTAATCTGATTTAGTGGTAAAAATGGCACAGTGGGGGAAAGGGAGGTGTAGTTGTAGGGGTTGTTGAGGAGGTTAGATTGGGAAACAGTTGGATGTGATTTAGAGCTTTCGGGGCGTGGGTGGTGGCCTTCACCGGTGCACTCACATAAAGTGGCCGGTGCACTCATAAAAAAGGAAAGAAAAGAAAACTGATATAAAGTGGGATGCAAAGAGAAAGGAGTATATAAAGATGCGGGCGAAAGTAGGGCTACAACGATAGTTCATATCAGATCCTTGCGTGAAGAGTCTGGAAACGATGGTGGGTAGGTATACCACGAGGCTGCCGAGAGTTGCTTACGGTTCTATGGGCAGCAACGTTACTTGTCCACATAGCACTGGGTTTCACCATAAAGAGACTTCTTCTAAAGAAAATATGAATAAATTCAGCCATTTTGTCGACGTTGGAAGGTTCTAATATTCATGTCAGTGAGAATTCTACGGTCATTTGGGGCCCACCCAGCAGCCAATCCATAATCCCCATACAAAAAGAAATTCATCCTCACAATAACAGATGTGCCAGAAATCCCACTTCATCCATTTTCACCAAAAGATGACCGTTGAGATTAAATTCTGATCCACCGTTTTTGCACCCATCGCACCTCTGATCCTGTCCTGTCAATATGCTATCGTTATCACGCCATGTGCCCTGACACACCATGCATCCACCTACCCTCCATCGAAAACAAACCAAAACCATCAAACCATTAGAAAATCCTCTTAATCGTATGAATTAGATAGAAAAAATATCTCCCTCCCAAATCACATTCACCTGAATCACCCATCCATTCATTTCTGCCATGCAGCCTGTGACTCAGCGCGATATGGTATGCGAAAAAAAGATGCAACTTTTCAACCACAACCATGTCGACTTTCGGAAACATCTTCAGAGTGACCACCTACGGCGAGTCCCACTGCAAGCTGGTAGGCTGTATTGTGGACGGATGCCCTCCAGGCTTGGACTTGACCGAGGATGACATCCAGCCCCAGTTGAGTCGAAGAAGACCAGGACAGCTGAAGCTCTCTACCCCAAGAAACGAAAAGGACCAGGTCCACATCCAATCAGGTACCGAGAACGGCAAGACCTTGGGCTCTCCTATCGGCATGTTGGTGCTCAACCAGGACCACAGACCCCACGACTACCTGGAGACAGACTTGTACCCCAGACCTTCTCATGCTGACTACACCTACATCCAGAAGTACGGAGTGAAGCTGGCCTCTGGAGGCGGCAGATCGTCGGCCAGAGAGACCATTGGCCGTGTTGCTGCGGGCGCCATTGCCGAGAAGATCTTGACCAAGGCCAACAACGTGGAGATTGTTGCGTTTGTGTCTTCCATTGGCGAGGTGGCTATGGACAGAAACCCCCAGGACGAGAAGTTCCAAAATTTGCTTAATACCATCACCAGAGAGCAGGTTGACGATGTGGGTCCCGTCAGATGCCCCGACGCCTCTGTCAGAGAGGAGATGGTCAAGGTGATTGAGAAGTACAGAGACGCCAAGGACTCCATTGGCGGTGTGGTCACCTGTGTGATCAGAAACTGCCCCATCGGCTTGGGCGAGCCTTGTTTCGACAAGTTGGAGGCCACCTTGGCCCACGCCATGATGTCTTTGCCAGCCACCAAGGGTTTTGAGTTTGGCTCTGGTTTCGAGGGCACCAAGATCCCCGGTTCTGCTCACAACGACCCCTTCCACTTCTGCAACGACTCTCAGCGCTTGAGAACGAAAACCAACAACTCGGGCGGTGTCCAGGGCGGAATCTCCAACGGTGAGAACATCTACTTCTCTGTGGCCTTCAAGTCCGCTGCCACCATTTCCCAGGAGCAGCCTACCGCTACCTACGAAGGTAAGGATGGTGTTTTGGCCGCCAAGGGTAGACACGACCCCTCGGTGACCCCTAGAGCTGTGCCAATTGTGGAGTCCATGGCTGCCTTGGTGCTTGTGGACCAGTTGTTGACGCAGAAGGCCCGTGAGTACGGCCGCACGATAGTTTCCTAGGTTTCCTAGTGTACATAGCGCAAGATAGAGCGGGCCGAGCCTGTATTGAAAGTGTTGTAGGAGGTTGATTTGGGAAGTGGTGAGTGAGAAGGAGTAATACGTCGAGGATAGTGAAATGATCGAGGGGTGGGTGAAGTGCCTTCATTTCAGAGGTAATGAAAATGGAGAAGAGCCAATTTTGGTCATTTTTATACATTCAGTCCATTCGATACATTTATGATAGGTACATGGTATAGTAGATTTCATTTGTCTTATGGAGGGCTGAGACCCGCTGAAGAAGTGAAGGATAACGTCTTCTTATTATTATACTTCCAAAGGACAGCTGATGAATCAAGTTTTTTCCCATTTAAAATTGTGGTGCCCACCATGTAGTTCAATGGAATCAATTCTCATCGAAACCACTATGGACCGTTCAGATTCAGCCACCCCAACTTCCACCCCTCACAAACTCCTACCAAAAGCCCCATTTCTCCCATAATGGGTCATCAAATTCCATAAAAACCACCCCTCCATCCCCAAAACCTGCCTATCTGGTCTGTTCCAGTCACCTGGAAATTGGTTGCAAAATGGTGTACCGGTGTAGATATGTCTTCGCAGTAGTAACTTCGTACCAAAAAGTCACCAACCACCATGGATTCAGTGCAGCTCATTCTTGCCACGGCCGTTCTCGGGCTCGTTATCTTTCTTGTGGTCTTCAGCCTTCAAGGAAGAAAAGTGGCGGTAGGAAAATCCAAATCGCCTTACAACAAGCCCACTTTCTTGGTAGTGGGTGCCAATGGAGCTGGAAAGACGTCTGTCTTTTACAGATTACAGGACATTCAGCCTGTCAGCACGATCTCGTCGTTGGAGGCCAACTACGGGAAAATCTCCATTCCTTTCAGCAATCCTGCCATCCTGAAAGACTACCAATTCATCGACTGGCCGGGTCACTTGAAGTACTCCCAGCTTTTGCGCAAATTGATCAATGAAGACGTGACAGTCAGAAACGTCAAGGGCGTCATTTTCGTCATTGACTCTTCCAGTGCCAGTCTCAGCCACGAAAAGGTGGCTGCTATCGCCAAGCTCTTGTACGACTTGTTGAGCATTACAGAGAAAACCCCAATGGGTGTCGATTATCTATTCGCTATTAACAAGCAGGACTTGTTTGACACCAAGCCAGTGTTTAAGGTCAAGAGCTTGATTGAGGAGGAAATCTCCAAGCTTGTCCAGGAGGAGCTCAGCGCCAAGGGCCTGGCGCGTGGAGGTTCTGGCATCGACAATGACGACGAGGAAGAATTCTCCAAGGAAGAGTCGACCAGAGAATTCTGGAAATCCCTCATGGGTAGCTCCAAGACCTTCAAGTTCGAGCTTTTGGAGGGCAACATGGAGTTCCTTGGTGGCCTGGCTCTCAAGAACAAGCTTCTGAACTGGCAGAACTGGTTTGACGAGAAGGCCATGAACTACGGCGGCATGTAAGAAGCATCATGGCTTTTGTGGTGCTCCGCTTGGGGTAGTTGGGAAAAACGAAGGGTTCTGCATTTCCTTCTGGCGTGCAGCTCTAACTTTCGCTTGGATATGGTTATTGACACGGCCCTTGTACATATCCTTGTCTAACTTGAAGGTTTTGAAGTCAAAAGCCGCAATTGCGTCGTTTGTCTCCGCAAGGTCTTTCTTAGCCTGTTCGAGCTTCTCCACCATCGAGTCATAGGTCTCTTTGGAGGGCTCTTCCTTGTCCTTATCATCCTTCTTCGAGTCCTTCTTGCCCCAGCTTACAAGCTTGTCCCACGCATACGGCTTGTTGAGCTCGACCTTTTCACGAGCCTGAACAAGACTTTTCTCCTGGGTCTTTCGTTTTTCTAGCAATTCGTTGTACTTTTCAGGATGCACTGGCGATGCAAATGAAGCATCCTTAAGATGGGAGCCACAGACATAGAAGAAGTCGGCTTTGTTGGCAGCTAGTAGCACGACACTAGTCGGCTTGAAGCATACAATACAGGCTTTTCCATCAGAAGCCCCTACGAGTCTTTTAGCGTACTCGTTTGGAAATGGAGGTTGGCTCATAGATAAGACTGGTACGTAGATGTACGGATGCGATTTACCATCGCGGTATGCTGACCCGAGGTTGATCGTCAGAGGGAAGAAGGAGGCTTAAAGATGAAAGAAGATAAATAAAACATAATTCAAACAATTACGTTACAAACTGTAAAAGAGATTTATTCAAAATTTCGAGTTTCTGGAAGTTCGCTTCTATGCTGAGGCGGTTCCGGGCGGTTTGCAGCCGCACTAGGGCGGCGGCATTGTGCTCATGCAGCGTAGGTTTTAGAACTTTCAAAGCCTTATATCGAAGGAAGCCCTTGAGACACCATTTATCTATTTTTAGCTCGGTGAATCGAACAAACTGGCTTATGTATGGACATTCACGAAAAGTGCAGCACGTGATGCGGTGAGTCAAGCTTTTGCCCAGGAAGCAATGTCGTGAATGTCGCGCGCCGCAAGCGGATCACGTCGGTTTCAGATAAAACCGCATGACAAGAATGAGGCCATAGGGCGGATCAATGGAGTTGTTTTGAATTCAGTATGGGCGTTTAAACCGCGACATTTTTTCCTCATCTTTTGCTGCAAAAAATAGCAACGCGTTTTACCATTGAACCTCGGTTGCTTTGTGGTTGCGAAACACGGAAATTTCAGGGAACTCGTCAACTATTCAAATTTAAAAGTTGACATTTGCATAATTAAAATGGCGTGTACCGGAGGTGAAAATAGGCCGCCTGGGCCGGCCAGGAGCAATTTTGTAAGCTTAAGCACCTCTCTTATCCGCACCTCTCTTATCCGGACTGCTACCTCAGTGCTCGTAGCCCTCATCAAAAACACCAAAAATCGCGTCTTTTCAATAAATTTTTCATCAAGGTGGGATCAATTGACGCTGCTGATTCCATTTCCCCCCATTCCGAAATACCCTGAGGCACGGGAAAGCAGTTTTAGCAGGGATACTGAAGAAGCCGCTCACGTGACCCATAGCAACAAATGTCGCGGCGTTCACCCCCTGGTCTTCAGAAAAAGTGCGCTGTCATAATAGACACTGCCCAATTTTCCCAGATTTGTTTTTCTCACTATACAATATCGGTAGAGCACATAATTTTTTTATTTTTTTTGCCTTCCCATTCTCATTTCGCTGACACCACCTTTTATTCCTCCCACCAAACCCAGCCAAGGAAAGAAAAGCACGCCAGCACCGTCCCAGCCAGCGTTTCTTTTTTGCCCTCCTTAAAAAAACTCATCTCCCAGCATAATCCCCTGTTTCCTCCAGGTGGCTTTTACAAACCCATAAATCAAGCTTAAAAACCCCTTTCCATGGCTGAACACCAGGAAGCCGACATCGACTCCATCGTCGACAGATTGTTGGAGGTCAGAGGGTCCAGACCCGGCAAGCAGGTGACCCTCCTTGAACATGAAATCCGCTACTTGTGCACCAAAGCAAGAGAAATCTTCATTCAACAACCCATTTTGTTAGAGTTGGAGGCCCCCATCAAGATCTGTGGTGACATTCACGGCCAATACTACGACCTATTGCGTCTCTTTGAGTACGGCGGGTTCCCCCCTGAGGCCAACTACCTTTTCTTGGGTGACTATGTCGACAGAGGTAAACAGTCTTTGGAGACCATCTGTCTTCTCTTGGCATACAAGATCAAATACCCAGAGAACTTCTTCATCTTGAGAGGCAACCACGAGTGTGCCTCCATCAACCGTATTTACGGTTTCTACGACGAGTGCAAGAGAAGGTACAACATCAAGTTATGGAAGACTTTCACCGACTGCTTCAACTGTTTGCCCATTGCCGCCATCATAGACGAGAAGATCTTCACCATGCACGGAGGTTTGTCCCCAGACTTGAACTCCATGGAGCAAATCAGAAGAGTCATGAGACCTACAGACATCCCCGACGTGGGATTGCTCTGTGACTTGTTGTGGTCCGATCCCGACAAGGACATTGCCGGCTGGTCCGAGAACGACCGTGGTGTTTCATTCACCTTCGGACCCGACGTGGTGTCCCGCTTCCTTCAAAAACACGACATGGATTTGATATGCAGAGCTCACCAGGTGGTGGAAGATGGTTACGAATTCTTCTCCAAGAGACAGTTGGTGACCCTTTTCTCGGCCCCCAACTACTGTGGTGAGTTTGACAACGCCGGTGCTATGATGAGTGTCGATGAGAGCTTACTATGCTCTTTCCAGATCTTGAAACCAGCAGACAAAAGACCACGTTACCCTCCTCCAAACAGTGTCGGCAACAACAGACCGGTCACCCCTCCAAGGAAAGCCAAGCGCGGCTCCAAGTAAGCGGCTCCGAACCTAATCGGCTGATCCACTCTTAGGACAGCTTTCATTGCAAGAATTGATGATGATGTTTCTTACGATGTTGGAGTTGAGCTCACTCACCGTGCCGTCTTATTTTTTTATCCTTGGTTTTTTTATCTGCTGTGGCTTCACAACCATGAAGCCGTGTATTTTAGCCCCAATGCCGCTTCTACAACCATGAGCTGGCAAGCCAGACTAATCCAGTCATTCTTTACATGCATCCATTTTACGAACGTCAGAATTTTTTTTATTTTTTTGCCTTTTGGATTTTCGCTGCTCACGACTTGAACTGTCGCAGCCCAGTGTTATTGCCCTCGCCCGACTTTGCAGCCAGAGACAAATGTATATACTTTGAGAAAGGGCTGTTGCGAACGTGTGCAAAGACCGACGAAGGGACGAGGAGCTAGAGCAGAACATAGAGTCAGCGTTACCTGAAACAGCAGACCGAGGCCACACCCACACCGATTGCGTAATATCAAAAAGTCAGTAAAGCCGTATAGATTTTCAATCGTGTGTTTGGGTTCGCCTTGGGTCTGAGAAAGCTTAATACTTATCTATCTTTTATAGTTCCTATCTTATATAGTTGCTTGATAGCGAAGTACATGCAGCGCAGCGAAGAGAAGATTTCCAGGGCTTTGGCTCCTTTTGGAGTTTGGTTCTGATGGATGCCGAGCTGGCTGCTGTTAGGATGTCTGGAATTTTGGCCAATATTATACTTTTAGTTTACAGTGAATTGATGATTATTTGATTGACGACGAAGTAGCGTTAAAGCGATCCATGATCAAGCGATTCAACGTATTATGCTAAGTTTTGAAGTATTCTAGAAGGCTTTATATTGTCCAGTTAAGTAGATCCGTAATTGTGTATGGAATCTGAGACACAATCAGTCTGCGTCAAGCTACAGCACAATGGTGTGGTTTCCATGAACCCAGCTGATTCCATAGCTCAGTAAAATTATTATTAAGCATCTTTAGTTTGACTTATTAAAAAATTGGCCTATTTGATGATAATTTGGGGGGTGAAATGGGCAAGTGGAAGCGCTCTATGTCGTTGAAAAAGAGAAGTCCTCAATAGGTGATTATCGATCCGCTGACCTACTAAGGACCTTAGTAATTTCTCAGATGGTTTATGATCTCTCTTTTCTCATCTGGTGATTCTTATCTGTTGTAAACAGAGTCGAAAGACCTTAGGCTTAATCCTCTATCATAGGAGGTATCCAGAGCAGTAAGAGATTTACAATATCCACGCCAGAGGTCGGAATTCTGGAATTCGATTAACTTCATGACCTTCTCCGTGTACCACATTCCTCTCTTATGTAATAAAAATTGGGCTCCAAAACCCTTAAATATCAACCCTTAACTACTGTCAACGAACCATCTTCTGAGACACTTTTCGCAGCCACTCGCATGCGCCACACGGCTCGAATTGCATGAATCTCGATAAAAACACCTAAAACGCTAAAAGAAACAATCCAGCTTCCTCACCTCAATGAAAGGCCTTGCTTTTGGGCGCCTGACTCGACGGGTTGTGTTGGAGAAAGACAGTCACACCAACACGTGACTCAAAAACACCCGTGCATCCTCACCAAACGTTCCTCCTCCGTGCGCACACACAAGACAGTAAAAAGCGCCCTTCTCCATACAAAACCAGTGGCTCGAGGCCACACAAAAAAACGAAAACCGCACTGCACACAAGACCCCAAATTCTCACTCTGCTGCCCTGAAAAAATTATCACTTCTTCTCAGTGAAAACTCTTTCTCATTCAATAGACTCAATATGGTATGTGAAACCACCCAAGCACGGCCGTGCCGTTGAACGCCAGAGCGCTAGCCCATGTCTCCCCGTCATTCCAAACCCAATCCCGTTTTTCCCAAATTCTTACGATGTCTACATCAGGAGTTAGTCGAAAAGAACTTCCAACAACCCCTCGACGACCTATCCATGACTGACGACCTCCAAAGCAATAAAAACTCGTTTTTCCATTGATTCCCACAAAGCTACACTCTGTGGCACCGGCGCACGGCTTATTCTCCCCAACAACCCACTAACATCCAGGTTTTAGTTCAAGACTTGTTGCACCCAAACCCAGCTACTGAAGCTCAGAAACACAAGAAGAAGACCTTGGTGCAGGGCCCAAGATCCTACTTCATGGACGTCAAGTGCCAGGGCTGCTTGAACATCACCACTGTCTTCTCCCACGCACAGACCGCTGTCACCTGTGACAACTGCTCCACTGTCTTGTGCACCCCAACCGGTGGTAAGGCTAAGTTGACCGAGGGCTGCTCTTTCAGAAGAAAGTAAGCCTTAGGCGTAATTAATAAAGAATAAAACATGCATATATGTGGATACGTTGTAGATGTGGTTCGTATGGAAAGGGGCCAATAACGTTGTAGATAATTGGATGAGTGGAGTTGAGTTACTCAGACATTGCTATAATTTTTGTCATAAGCAAGGAATGTTAGGTTTACTTGGGATACACCTTGGTGGTGGTGAAATCGGGGTATCATGGACTCAGATCCCATGCTACTCACTGGACCTCCTAAACCATTGTCAATCACAACGCCAGATAGTACTTTTTACATTTGATTTGTTCAAAAAGTTTAGTCTATGGAAATTCGGGCTATTTCCTTCACTCTCGTAGTTCAATGAATACGTGATTTTCATCTGGGGTAGACACAAAGACTATGTGAGGCTATTACGCTATATCCATTCATTGAGCTAGACCCCTAAAAACCTCAGAAGTCAGAATCCTTCATGTCAACATTCATGTCAACATCATATCAACATGACTAGTGTCCATAATTGCATCCCTTCAACTGAAGCCTCCCGAATCCGTTGTGGTATCACTCACCAAGACTACACTAGACCTGATCCCCTTTGCGCTACAAATAACTACAACTCAAAAATATCGCAATGGTCATGAATATCGATTAATATATAGCTCTGCTGTTTACAACTTAGACTTGGCAAAGTGTCTGATAACCTCGTCAAAGGCCTTAGCAACCTTGGAGACATTGTGCTCGTTCAAACCGGCAACAGAGGCTCTACCGGAGCTCACCAAGTACACACCGTGGTTCTTCTCTAAACGAGCCACCATGTCGGCACTCAAACCGGTGAAGGAGAACATACCAGTCTGGTTAGTGATGTGGTCCCAGGTACCGGGGGTTCCCAATTCTTCCAACTGTCTCTTCAATTCCTTTCTCATGGAGATGATTCTCGAAGACATGGTGATGAGGTCCTCCTGCCACTGCTTACGCAACTCGTTGTCCGTAAGAATGGTGGCGACAATCTTAGCACCGTAGGCTGGTGGGTTGGAGAACTCAGACCGCGTCAACTTGTTCAATTGCGACTTGATGGCCTTCTTCAATGGGTCTCTGGTGCTGGCGTTTTCGCTGAGAGGCAAAACGACGTGGATAGCACCCACACGCTCACCGTACATACCAACGTTCTTAGCAAACGACTGGCAAATGAGGATAGGAGAGGAGATGGTGCCTGCCTTGATCGCCTCTCTGATAGGAGCAGCATCCTTGTTCAAATCGCCCGAGGCAAAGCCCTGGTAGGCCGAGTCGAAAAGGGGAAGGTGGTCGTGGTCGGCAATGGTCTGCAAGATCTGGGTCCACTCCTGGGCAGTAGGGTCCAAACCAGTTGGATTGTGGGCGCAGGCGTGCAAGACAAAGATCGAGCCACGAGGAGCGGACTTGATGGTGGCGAGGTAGCCTTCGAGGTCCAACTTCTTGTTCTTAGCGTCCCAGTAAGGATAGCTGTCGACCTTGAAACCAACGGAGGAGAAGATCTGGTTGTGGTTGGCCCAGGTGGGCTTCGACAAGTAGATGGTGTGGGTGCCGGCGTAGAACTGCTTCAAGAAAGCAGCAGCCAAGTGCAAAGCACCGGTTCCCGAAAGCGATTGCTGAGACACCACAGCTCCTTGCTGGATGGCCTGGGAGTCTTCGCCCAAAATCACCTTTGCGCTCTGCTCCAAAAATGGCTCGTATCCCGAAATGGAAAGGTACTCGTGGTTATAGCCCTCGGAGTCAATCAACTTTCTCTCAGCTTTTCTGACGGCGGGCAAGATCCAAGGCTTGCCGTTATTGTCTCTATAAGCACCAATGCCCAAATCGACCTTGTCGGTGCGCTTGTCGGCGACGTAACGGGCCTTGAGGCCGAAAAGGGGGTCTGGGGGCAATTCCTTGATTTCCGTAAAATACTTGGACATGTTGAGGATTATGGGGTGCAGAAAAAGTGAGGAGGTAATCAGCTGCTTATATATGTGCTCGGAATAAATGGTGGGGTCACACAGGAGTTCCTTTGAGCCGAGCGGTGCTTAACGGCGCGCTGAATCTGGAGTGCTGGGACTGCATGCAGGACCGGTTGGCTGGTGCCGTATCCCCAATGTTGGGTGGCCCTAGTGAGAGTATAAAAGGGGGTAGAGATTTGGAAATTTGATGAATTGGCAATAATTGGTAAAGAGATGATAAGTCTAAAATTTCAGAAAAAGCCATGCATTTCTGAGAGTGTGGCGCCGACGCACGGTCGATTTGCACCCAAAGCGCACTCGCTTGTGTCAAAGAGTGTGGAGAGATGATGGAGAACCCTGGTTTTGCCGGTATTTTGGGATATTCTGGAAAAGAAGGCTTGGATTCAGGGGCCGAAAGTGCCGACATTTCCACCTTTTTTGCTTAAATTTAGGCCTACAAAACACAAAGTCTACTTTGCAACTAGGGTCCATCGCCGTTCTGAAAAATAGCTATTCCTTGGCGGCTCCAGACAGACAATGTAAGATCCACTGATTCTTCTTTCACAGTCCATTGAAATTCGGTCGTCCGGTCACAGGACACTGTCTACCCTAGATACATTAAAATTTCCAAAACCACCCTTTGGTCCATATTATCAACCGCTGGTCACGGAGTTTTCACTATTTTGAAAAACTGTCATACCTGCCTGGAACGAAAAAGGCAACTGGCCAGGCCCACACAGGAATCAGG